GCGAAGTGTTTCCCTTAGGGATCTCAATTCTCGAACCCATTTGGGATGAGTTAAAGGTTTGGCAAGTCCAAAAGGAGCTGTGGGAAAAGTGGGAAGACGATTTGGGCAATACATTTCAAAAGGGGTTCTACCTAGAGGATTGACTATTTTGTGGTTCGATCGATTAGTGTCTATTTTATTGGATAAGGAAATAACAGCATCATAATAGGTCGATTCTAATTTCAGTGGGGTGTAACATATTTGATAAAAGTTCTCGAATCGAGATATTTGAAGACAGTGGAAGTGTGTACCTTTCTTCGTTTTTGATTTGTCCTGCAACACAAAAGAAGGATGAGCAGTCAATTTCTGTCGGACCTCGTCAAAAGCAGCATGATTACTCGAGAACCAAATAGCCCACCATTGAGAAAAACCCACAGTCGATAAATAATTTGATTCGAAAACATAGGGGTAAAAATGCATCGGAGTTTTTGGCAAAAACTTGACAAGTTCCCGTCCGATTGTCGATTCCGTTAACTTGGACCTTGGGGAAATATCCAAGGGAAAGAAGGGTAAGGACTGGCTCAGACCAAATTGCCTCGAGAAAAGTTGAGGGTAGTAAGTAATGAACTTGAAATCTTTGGGTTGGAAACCCGATATTAGTATATCATGAGTTAAATAGTTATTCCATACATCTACCAACTCTAATTGCAACCCAGGAGTTGAAGCAGGGAATTTCGACTTAAACCAAATTGGCCCCCTGAGTTGGTCACTTATTCGTCCCAGATGTACGGTAAAAGGAGCCAAAGTCGAATCGAAATTAACCTTAGTTAACAAAAAGTGGAGGTATCTACAATAGGCAGCTTCATCGGACTTTTGATGAGGATGGCGAGAAGACAATCGGGCCCCTTCTATATTTACACTTACGGGGACGGTAGGAGTTGGGGGAAGGATGCTCTCAAAAATCGAATTTAGCCACAACTGTATAAACCAAATAGGGCCAGAGAAATTTCCAGAAGCTTTAGGAGTACTCAAAATTTTGACGGCCTCGTCGAAAGCAGTATATACATGTGCTAGCAAAAATTTGGCCAAACATATTCTAGGTTGGCCTAGGTGAAGGAGATATGCAAGGTCAAACAGATGGGAGGAGATTTGGATCGATCGAGGGCAAAAAACGTGGGTACACAACCAATACACCAAAAAGGCGATATGCTCTTCATCAGTTACAGTTATCGATTCATCATCGACGAAATGTTTCTCAAGGAAATGCCAATAAGTTTTCAATTCCCAATCGATTTTAGATCTTAGAGAGTTATCCGAGGGACATGCACCCTTAAAATATCTTTCCCCTATAGGTTCTAATCCAGTAATGGCCGCGACTTCAAAAAGGGTAGGCGAAAGAGGACCGCAAGGTAATTCCAGGGCATGTATTTCCTTATTCCACAAGTGAACGGCAGCCAAGAACATAGCCATGTCCAAATGAGATAAATCACATCGGGACAGGTGCAAAAAATCAAAAATTCCCACGCTTCTCCAATGATCCCCGAATCTAGCCTTAACCCTATCAAACCATCTAATGAACAAAGGTTTTTTAGAAGGAGGGCCTGTCCGATACACCTTAGAGACAAGGTTCAAGAAATCAATCCTAACTTCAGGTTGGTGTACAAGAGCCGAACTATTCGAGAGGTTGAGGGGAGAAAAGGTTCCATCAATAGGACGAAGAGGACCCCCAAAAGCGTAATTAACACCATCGTGTAAGGAATAAGTACCTGCGTCTCAGCTATTTTCCGAGAAGCTTCCTCCATCAGAGGGACCGGAGCGAACTTCTGATTGTTGATCTCCAGCAGGTTCGATGCCAATGAGGGAAGGGGTGGAGCGGAAAAATCAGAAGATTTGGAGGAAGTGGCCATTTCAGTAGCTGGTAGGATGAAGAAAAGCAAGGTAAGAGATGAAGGCGCAGGGATGAAGACAATAGCTCAAGGAAGAAGATGAAGTTGTAAAGGGTAAAGGTTCGCGTAAAAAACCAGAATAAAGACCAATGAAGAGATTAAAAAGAAAATCACCTAGGGAGTTGGAAACGACGGAGGGGAAAAGTAATTAATGTGGTTTGTACCGTAAGGTAGCAGACTGACGAGACAACGACATAAAGTAAAAAAGAAACCCAAAACCCTAGAACCCCAGAAACCCAAAACCCTAAATTCTAAATTCTATGGACCTCCAAATACTAAGGCGGGAATATTGAAAGAATATAAACAGAAACTATTCATATTCTTCCAAGGGGGCATTTGTTAGTGGCAAATCGAGAAAATCGATCGAAAACGAAGGAAAGAAAAAGTGAGAAAATATGCAACTGATTGATAAATCGATAAACAAAAAACCATTCGATGTCTAAATAGAAGTACGTAATACATAACATCGAGAAGCACAATCGAGAATCGAGTGAATGATAACCAAATGCTTATTGTCAAATAAAAAACTAAGAAATTAGAGTTATATGAGATCAAGGTTAAAAAGAAATCGTAAGTAATTTGGAGTTCTCGAAAACATTAAAATGAGAGTGAAGAAAGCCAACCTAAGTAGACATCGAGACCTTGGCCAAACCGTGAAGGGAAGAATAGTCAAACGCACATATAGGAAGCAGTTTCTAAACCATGATAGAAGTCGAAGATCGTGAGAACGTGGGAAACTGTAGAAGATAAACTGCAACATGCACGTAAAACATGGTTGCAATTTTGTTAACTGCTCCTGGAAGGCTTGAATGATGCCCTATAAATAGAGCAAAGGAGGAAGGGACAAGGGAGCAAAAAATTGACAGAGAACAGAATCAGTAGTGAGAAGTCTACCGGAAAATGACGAACACCATGAAGCTTCTGGCAATCTGGATTTCAATGCTCACGGAGTACCTTTATCGCTTTCTGTATTTTCCTTGGTAATTTATTTTGATGCAATTTATATTCAGTAATTTTATGTTTCTGTATTTTCGATTCTTGGTCTTTTCGATTTAATGCAAGTTAAGCTTCCATATTTAAATTCCCTGGTCATTTTACATTAATGCAATTTCGATTTCCAGTCATCTATTGTACCTTTGATTTACTGTCCTTTACATTTCCTGCAAATTCGATTTCTCGTTATTTACATCGCTGCTGTTTCGATTCCATGTCTTTTACACTTAGCAAATTTAAGATTCTCGTAATTTACATTTCTTTGCAATCTAAGTTTCAGCACTGTCTTTCGATTCCATACATTTCCCGTTTTCTTTACTTCGAGTATTCTTAATACAAAACACCAAAAAATAGTACCTAGGAAATCGAGTAAAATTCGATCCCCATACACATTTTGGTTGAAAATTAACTTGCTAGCCTAAGCAAAAAGAACTTACGTGGTAAAATTTTGATTAGGATCAAAATATCTTAGGGGTCTAAATCGATCGAAATTCCACCAGAAACAATATGGATAGTAAAATTATTGATTAATCTCATTTTGTTACGTTACCTCTCTAATTGGTAAAATATTGAGTGAGATACACTTTTAATGTTTGTTTTACCAATGGGCAGATCTAGATAAGTTTACCAATAATTTTTTTTATATATCAAATTTTTTATAAATTTTATTTTTATTTATATCATTAATTTTTAAATTTTTATTAATTAATCAATATTTGTATTATATAAATAAAAAATATTAAATTTATGTATCAAAATAATTAATTATAATCAATATTTTAAATTTAATTAAATATTTTTTTATAATTTAAATTATAATATTATAATATTTTATATATTTTAATAACATAAAATAATATATATATATATATATATATATATAATATTTTTAATTATAATTTTATTTAAATTTTAATATATAAATAATTTTTTAAAATATATAAGTAAATTAATCTATTTCTGTTCCTGTTTTTACGCCATCAAATTAATAAGATAAGTAAGATAAACGAGAATAAATTCACGAATTAAAATTATTAATCCGTCTCATTATTATATAAATGGATTGGTAGACAGGTTTACTTGAACTAATTAGTTTATCATGTCTAATAAAATATAGAAAAAAATATTTAAAAAAAATCAGTTTTTTATAAAACTAATTTACGTCTTTATTTTTATTTTATTTTTCTGTCTTTCAATTATGGTACTTGTTTCTAAAAAAATCACTTAATTGTAATAATTTTCTTTCTATTCTTTTATCCAAATTTTTTTATTTTAAACAAGGCTCTGCAATTTACTTTCCCTCGTTATTTTTATTTTCAATTTAAGTGATAATTGATTATAAAAAGGTTTCCAACCCATATACATCAGAAGTGATGTTTGATCATTCAATTCTACACCATACTTCGACACATTGCCCGCTCTCTCACTCAATCACTTGCTCAAACATTAAATTTAAGAAGAAGATAAAATGAAAAAAAAATTATATCAACATTCCGAACCATTTTGGGTTTTGATAATCATTTTAATATTAATGCTCTTTTTTTTAAATTAATTTTTTTATACTAATTAACACACTTGGAAATATTGAATTATTCACAAAGATTATGTTATTTTTCAAATGTATGCATGACTTGTGGAATATTATTATTCTTACTTATAATTGTTAGATCACGAAAGAATTTTTTTTTATTAAATTATATTTATTTTAATTAAATATTTAATAAATAATTTATAACATCTTATAAAATAAAATAAAAATTGATAATTTATTTTAATAAGATTCGTATCATATATATATATATATATATATATATATATATATATATATATATAAATAAGAATGTCTCTATTTAAATCAATTTTTATATTTTAAGATATTATTTATTTTAAAATTATCTTTCGTCACGATATAGTGGAAAAAAAGAATATATACAAAATATTTTTTGTCTCAATTCTTAATTGAAATAAAACTTATAATTATATATAGATAGATATGGTTATGAGTTATATTGGTGTTGTTTCTCTTTTGTGAATCCCTCGAAAAATTTAAAAAGTGGTATCAAAACCAAATGTTGATCAACAATGAGTCGAGTAGCTTTTGTACCGAAAGTCTTCGTAGTAGGTCAGGTGAATGTGTCCCATTATGATGAACGGCGATATTTGGAAGGGGTCGTGTTCGAGAGAATGTACCAATGTGAAAGAATTTACTATTGGGGTGACATGGCGGTAGGGCGGGCGGGCGGGCGAGAGCGGGTTCCGCCTCCCCGATTCCTCGCCCCTAACTTTATTAATCATCCCCGTCCCCCTATTCCCATTGAGGTTAGAAATTAAGTTCTTATCCCCATCCTTGTCGGGTTTCGAGTTTCCTCGCCCTCGTTCGTCTCCGATTTATATTATTTAAAAATATATATATTAATAATAAATTAATTTTATTATGTATTTTTTATATATATAGATAAATATTTATAATTTATAATTATTATTAAATAAATATATATTTTAATTTATTATATTTATATTAAAAAATGTATGTAAAAGAAATATTTAATATTTTTTATTTATATATATAGAATATTTATAATATTATTATTATTTATTATTATTATTATTATATTATATTTCAAATATTTGATTATATATATAAGTTAATTCATTTTTAAGTTGTCATTTAAAAATATGAAATATATAGTTTATAAGAAAATATTTAATTAGTTTGAAGTAATAAAAGTTTAAATTATCAATTCTTTTTAATTATTTAAAATACAATTATTTTATTAAGATAAAATTTAATATATGAAAAATAAAAATAATAAGATAAAAAATATGACATAATAAAACTTAATAAATATAAATTATAAATAAAATAATATTACTAACTATTAAGATTTATGTAAAATATTTAAAAAAGATAAAGTAGAAAAAAAATTATTTTTGTGTTCATCAAATTGATTGAAAAGATTGAAAAAAATTGATTGGAGAAATTAAGAAAATGCAAAAAAACTGAAAGGTAAGAGTGGAAGAATAATGTAATAAACTAATTGATATAAAAGATTTAAAAAGACAAAAAAAAGTGGGTAGAAGAAAAGTAAAAATGGTGAAATATAAAAAAATGAACTTATATGTAATAAAAAAGAAATATTTTTAAAATATTAATATTTTAAAATTTAAATTTAAATATAAAGTTGGGGCGAGAATGAGGACTCGAGACTGGATGTGGTCTGGATGAAAATTACATTACCCATCTTCGCCCCTGTTTTTTTAAAGTGGGGAAGACCCGAACCCGCCCCCACCACCGGTCAACTCGGTTTTTCCCCATCAAACTCGGGACGAGGACGGATCAGTCCCCATGGGTACAAGTTTAATTATCATCCCTAGGTAATCCAAGTGTCAGTTAAGTCTCACATTGAATAAAAATGAGAAAATTAAGCAACATATAACGAAGTATAACATATAATCTAATGCCTTAAGATATTGGATTGAGTGGTATCAATCCTTATGTGGGTAATCCAACAACATATAAAGAAGTATGACACATAACCTAATGTATTAAAATTTTGGATTGAGAGTGATGTCAAATCCTTGTGTAATCAAAGTGTGAGTTAAGTTTCACATGAAGTAAAAATGAAAAAGTTGGCATTATATAAAGAAATATAATTCATAACCTAATGTCTCTTAAGGTTTTGGATTGAAAGTAATATTAATTCTTAGGTGGGTTAAACTCATGTCTCATTAATTTTATTTCTCTTGAATTCCCTAAAAAAAAAAACCCAATAATAACACTAAATCATATTTGAACGAAAAAAGCAGTTATAATTAAAATTATTCAATAATAATATTCTCACATTTTTTTAATGTTTTTTAATATAAATAATTTAATGTGAAATAAATAAATATAATAAAAATAACGCTATTTAAAAGTAAGAGTATATAATTTATTATTTCAAATTAACTATGATGAACTTTTTTTTATTATAATATTCATATTGAAGCGTTAAAGTGGAGTGTGATGATGGATAACGGTATTGGTGGAGATTATTCTCTCCATTTTATAGAATAACTTAGAAAAAAAAACTATAATTTTATTATATTTGGATTGGATTTTTTTAGTGACTGCAATTTTTTTAGAGAAAATGGAATGTTTTTATGAGAAAAATGTTGTTTAGGTGGAATTAAAAAAATACATTTTAAGAATTTATGTCATAATTTAATTTCTTAAAATAAAAAAATTATACTCTAATATCTTATACATATGTTTTTTTATTTTTCCATAATCTATTTACAACTTGTTGCAATGTTGACTCAGTTTTAAGTACATGGTGAACTTCCTAAGATTGACCAAGGTTATATTTTCTTTTTATCATTAGTGAAAGTATTTTTTTATTATTATTAATGTTGAAAAAAATCTTAAAAATAATATAATTTAAAAGAAAATTTAGTTAAATAAAATCTATATAATTTTATTTATCTAAATAGACATGTTTATTGTTAATATGTAATTTTTCTCTTCTTTTCATTTTTTTTCTTTTTTTCTTTTTTCCATTTACTCTTTTTTTATCCTACTTCTCTTGTTTCTCTCTCATTTTTCATTTATTCTCTTAATTGAACTACTATATTAAAATTTAACAAAAATATATTAAAATAAATATTTTAAAAACAATATTAAAATTAAAAATATTAACTAATTATTTAAAATTATGATAATAATAAATAATTTTATTTATTTTGACAATAAACAATTTTATTTATAATGATGTAAATAATTAATTTAAAATTATTTTATCATAATAAATAATTACTCATCTAATTAAAAAATATTAAATATTTATAAATTAAATGTAGTTTTTATTTAGTAATTATATCTAATTATAATATTTAATTTTTTTCTTAATAATTATAACATAACAATAATATTTGTAACATGTCAAATTTATCATATAATATTTTTTTCAAATATAATATATTAAATTATAATATTTTTTATTTATTTAATTATATTTTTTATTTATTTAATTATATTTTTTCAATAATAATAATAAAAGAATTATGTTATTAGATTTTAATCTACTATTTTTAATTAAAGAATAAGATGGAGTGAGGGGAGAACAAGAGAGAGAAAAAAAAAAGAAAAAAAATAAATGAAGATAGAGAAAAATAAAAATATAAATGAAGAAAATATTTGTATTATGTTAACAAAATTATTTTTCTTTATTTAATTTTGTGTATAAACAGTAAATAGGTTTAATTGATAAATAAATTTAAAATAATTCTATTTAAGTAATTTTTTTAAAATACATTATTTATATAATATTGATTCGACAAAACTATTTTTCAATTAATATATTTTGTTGATATTTACATTAATTGTTTGGGTAAATGATACTTTATCTAAATTAGTAATTTACTTTTTTTATTTAAAAAAATTGGCAAATCTTTATATGGATTATTTTGATTAATATCATTTTGGAGATTTCTTTTAGCATGTGACATGAAAAAAACTAATTTTTATAAATATTAACCAAAATAAATATAGTTAATATAGATTTAAAATAATCTCTTTTAATATTGTTTTTACCAAAAAAAAATCATATTAGTTAGTTATATTTTTTCTTATTTGGTTGTAATCTAATCATATATTTCTCTTTGATAGGTTTTTCTGTTTTGAATCTAAAATCTTTATATCTATGTAAGGAAAATATTTTCATAGTAAAAAATATCATAATAAATCTCCTATTAATTGATTATTGAATAAGCGATTAACATTTAACCATTTTCTTTAAAAATTATTTTTCATTTTCAATATAAAATGAGAATGTTGGTGGACTTAATCATTTAGAAATAAATTTAAACAGTTTGTTTTAAGGTTTTTATATGATCGAATCTCGTGTAACCAAACGATATAATAACGAACTCATTTTATTTATTCCAACCACAACGTCTATGACATGATGTGAGGTTCAGACTGTGTAATATAAAAAAAATTGTTTGGTGTTTACGACAGAAACGCAAAGAATATTTCATCAATCAAAGTATTAAAATGTCAAAAATTTACTCTAAGCGATAAAGTCACTGAGGAAAAAGTGGTTCGGGAGGAAGACGAAGTTGTGCGAGAAGAAGAGAATACGAAACAAATGTCTATGGAAAAAGGTACGTGAAAGAAAGACAAGACAAGAAAGGTGTCGTTGCGAGGAAGACATTTAATGCAAATGAAAAATAAACTAATTTACATTTTTTTAAATACTAATATGTGGAGTTAATTATGGACAAGACGATATTAAATTCAATATATAAAAATTATTTATAATTTTTTAAATTTTCTTGTAGGGTATTTTTTTATTTTTTTATTTCTTGTTTTATGTTTTTAATATGAATAAAAAACAATAAATTATAACTTTTATGTTATAAAGATGAAATTATAGAAAAGAAAAAAAAGATTTAAAATAAAAAAAATTACAAAATTTATATTAAAAGATGAAACCATAAAGATAAATGAGTGTAAAGGAAAAAGATAAAAATATATAAAGACAAAGTGAACCTTTCATAAAAAAGTTAAAATAAAGAAGTGAATATGTGAGAGAAAAAAATATAAAAATATATTGAAAGAAAAAAATTGTATATAAAAAATTATATAATGGAGTAAATATGATATTTATTAAAAATTTAAAAAATTATTAATAAAATAATTTTTTATTTAATATGATGGTGATGAGCTGTGGGCCGTTGGCCCTAAATCCGTCTCTCATCATCGTAGACTAACAAATATTAAATTAATAATCATATTAACAATTTTAATATTATAGTAACATTTATATATATATATATATATATATATATATATATAATGATTATATTTATATGTCATGATTTATAGAATTAAAGCAAGTTACTAGTGTAATTTTGTAAACAATTATTTAATGTAGATATTATATCTTTCGGTCTTAAAATAAAAATATTTTATATATAAAAAAAATGAATATATATTTGAGATTCTTTAAAGATACTCGATAGCAATAGTTATGGTAAAATCGATATTTTGATCGAATCAAACTCAAGACCTACGTTTTCACGTGTAGTTGGTATGAATTGGTGGAGAAAATAAATATGACACATGTCATATTTAATATTCCCACTTGGTTGCTAAAGTCTAAGGATACGGACGAGTATTTTTCTCTGCCGACTTGTTTGGTTGGAATGAAAAATATTTTTATCGTTCAAAACGTGCTTAATATCGACTACTCTATGTCTTAGATATTATGCAATACAGTTCATGAGCTCAAAAGAAAAACATTAATTGAGTTTGACAAACATGTCCCCTTTTATAATTCATCTTCAAATTTTTAGACAAGACAGCACCACGTTTGGATTTTGAATCTGGGAACTCATGCTCAACTTCACAGTTGAAATTAGTAATAAGTTTGCAATCAAAATATTTTTTAGAACCCTTTTCATATTACAATTTTTAGCTAAACTTCACCTATTCTTAATTAGGTAACATCTATTTTTTTAGTTAAATTCTACTTACGACATTGAATACAGATAAAATACATGTTAAGGTAAGTTTAAGGATATTTTTTTTTATATGATGATATCTAATTTGTTTATCATGTTTAGTACGACCTTCATATGCTTAATGTGGACCAATATGCTTCGAGTCTAAAAAACAACTGAATAATTTGTTTATACATTATAAAGAATTTAATTTAATAATAGAATAAAATATATTATTTATATTTACTTACATAAGTTTAACTTTTAGAATCTTACATTTATATATTTTATTATTAAATATTTTTGAGTTTATTTATTTATTGTTTTTGAAAAATAATTTACATTAACGATCTTTGAAACAGTTTCTGAAAATAAATTTATGAAACAAGATTTTATTTTCTCTTCGTTAAATAATCTTTAAATTAGTATTATTAATTTTTTTAAATTATACAAATTTATCTTAAAAAAAGTTAAAAATAAAACTAAATTCAGCATGTGTTGAACTTTTACACAATTGATATTTTATCTATTGGATAAATGATATAAATAATTTTTAGGGTTAAATAGTTTTGATCCTATTTGAATGTTTATACTAAAAAAATGAGTTAATTATTCTATTTATAAGAATATATTATTTTAATCTTTTACATTCTTCAATTTAATATTTAATAATTATTTTTTTAGTTTATTATGATTGATAAAATGATTAAATGTAATTTAATTTTTTATATCTAAATTTAATATTTATTAAAATATTTTTATTATTATAAATTTGACGAACAACTAAATTTACGTAATTTAAAAAAATAATTAATCATATTTTAAATATAAAAATTAAAATCAAATTTGTCAAAAGACACAAAATCTAAAAAATATATTTAACCTTCATTTTTATATAGATATTTAATGATATAAATTAAAATCACTTTATGATATTATTTTAGTAAATCAAATTAATTTTGATTGACATTTAAATGAATTTAAAATTAATAGTATAATTATAACAATAATAGTCCAAAGGTGATCAAATGATTTAAATTTAAAATAAAATTTAATTTCAATAAAAAATAAATTTTAATGTGAGAATTAAATTTACTTAAAAAAATATATATCAATCTCCCTCTGTGGTTATACATGATAGAGAGACTTCTTTCTATAAGGAAAATATGTTTTAAGAGGGGTTGTTACAATACTTACGAATAAAAATATTATTTTAATATAAAGTTTTCGCTTGTATATGAATGGATTAGAATTAAATATAGTAGTTTACAATAGAAAGAAATTACTTACATAAGTAAATTATTTGTTAAAAAATTTAAATAATTTATACACATGTAATACCTACCTTAAATTTATATTTTTATTTACAGATAATTTCGTAAAAAAAAACTCCCTTTAAAAATAACATGAGAGAATAGAAAAAAATGTGCTAATTGAAATAATAGAAATAATAAGAGTTTTATTTTCCATTGCTTAAGTTTATATATATCAGAAATTATATATATATATATATATATATATATATATATATATATATATATATATATATAACTAGGAAAATCATATGATTTAAAATTTATGTTCTATTTTGAAAATTTTAATAATTAATAATAAAATTAAAAATAATAAGAAAATATCTCTTTATTTTTATGATCTCACTAGTAACTACGACAAGGTTCTATTATTTTACTTTGTTTTTTTTTTAATTACTTTAACAATAATACTACAAACAATAAATGCATTATTTTACTTTGTTTATTTTTTAAAAAATTACTTTAACACTAATACTAAAAACAATAAATGCACATATATTAATAAAATTGAAGGTGTAAGTTACCGAATTAAATCAAATTAAATTTAATATTTGCACCCAGTTAAATTTAATTGAATTGTGTTGAGTAGAGTTTATTTTTTATTTATTTAGTAACTAAAATTAATTATATTAAATTTAATGTTTTGATTGAAAATTAAAAAAAAAATTTAACTTCAGGAAAAATGCCTTAAAATGAATATTCTTACTATTGTTTATATATTTTTTTTAAAAACTGTATTTTATAATAAAATATAAAAATTTCATCTGATTAAATATAAAGTTATTTTTATAGTGAAATTATTCGAGTAATAATAATAATAATAATAATAATATTATTATTATTATTATTATTATTATTATTATTATTATTATTATTATGTATTAAGTTGTTGAGTCGGGTTAAATTTATCCAACTTAAAATTTTAATAACTAATTATCTAATCAAATTATAAATAGGTGAAGAAAAAAACTTAACTTAAGAAAAAAGAATATATTATATTGGATTCAACGAGTTTCCACGTAAGGTGGAACTTGATTACATCTCTAATAATATATATAACATGCAAATTAAATGTTTTTTTAACTATTTTTTACATTTTGAGAAAGTTAAATTGTTGATTTTGAAATGGTGTAAGAAATTAAAACATAAAATGTTCTCTTGCAACAAATAGAAGATTATTATATTTATGCTCTCAAAGCAAACTCGTGAAGCTTCTCTATTAAAACTTTCCTTGTATCTTTAGGAGCTTGTATGACATGTATGAACTCAACATTGTGCAAGGAATTAATCATCAGATGAACTTGGGCTCTTTGGTGAATGAGACTGGGTCTCTTTACAAACTTTCATTGGGCCTTGCCCAAATGAAAAGCCCAGATTTGTTGTCCCCTACTTTCTTTATTTGATGTAACTCAACTATCTATTTTGTTATGATTGTCCTACATGCTCCTACAAAAGTCATATAATAGAATGATTAAATGTTATTTTTAAATTTCTGTTTTATTGTTTGTTTTCATTCTTTCTAATTAATTACCAAACCTTTTTATTATTATTTACTCTCAGAAGTTACTAGTATGATGAATATCCCATTTAAATAAATTGAGCTTTTTTTTAGTTTGTCAAATTCAATTTAACTAAAATTCTTAAAAATTGAGTGAGAATTTTTATATATTAAATCCAACACTCAAAATTCAATTAACCTGCTAATTGAAAAAATAATATTAATAATAATATGATTATTAATTAATTATTCAATTATTCATTCATTTAACATGTATTTTTTATATAGTAAAATATTGAAATATTTATTTTGTCAAAATTATCTTAAAAATAATAATTTTAAATTCTAATTTTAAAAAAAATCTTAACTACACTTAATCCAATATTTTTTTTTTGTTTAAATTAGGTGCAAATCCAGTTCAATTCCACACTTAGTAATTGGTGTTTTTCTTTTTCTTGTAGTTATTTTATGTGAATAAACCTTGAAAAAATTCTTAAAAAATATTCTTGTATCGGTTTGCAAAGCTTTAAATGATTGGAACTTCAAGAAATCAATAGTATATTAATAATAGTATTGTAAATGTTAATGGGGAGTGTATGAATTAATAGATTAATTAGTTAAAAATTGTAATTAATTAACTGTATTTAGTAATTTGTTTAAAAAACAGGACAAAACACATTAAACACAAATAAAAATGGTTTGAAAAACATCCTTTCAACGTGAAATTGAAAATATAATTGAAAAATGGAAATTTCAGGAAATAAATGTGTTTTAGTTTAAAAGAGGGTAGGTGAAAAAATAATGAAAATATACTTTATAAAATAAAATAAAATCAATTTATTGTAAATATTTTTATCTGTTAATATTGTTATAAAAATCAGAACAAAGATCAACCTTTGACAAGATATAATCCCTTTGTTTTCTGTATCTATTTTGAATGTAATTTCTTTATTTTAACAACATCAATTTGATCATGTTATTAATATAAGAGATTATGTGCATTTATAAGATATTTTCTTTGTTTTTTAACAAAATCAAAGATCTTGTTAAATTAGGTCTATTATCAAATTTGCATGTTTTTCTCTACTTTTTTTCGTTTTTTTTAATTCACCTTGTTTTTACAATTATTTTCTTTATTTGTACTCAGTCAAATAATTTTCAATTTTTTTCATGGTTTTCCTTTTTTCTGATTATACAAACAAACCGTTAATGTAATTTTGTATGAATAACTTATTCAACAAGTATTTATAAAATTAGAAGAAAAATAAATTATCTTTTAACTTCATCTTTTAAGAAATTTAGACGAGAGACTGTTATATATATATATACATCATTTAAAATTATTTGATATTTTCTCTTATAAATATTTAAGGAAGTGTTGGTAATTTTCTATTCTTTTATCTATAATTTATCTAACGAATTGTTTAAATTGTTAAAAAAAAATTGTTCTTTGTATTTTTTTTAATTTATCTTAATTATTGTATTTTTCAACTTGATCAGTTTTATTTTTTAATTTTTAAAAGATACAATTGTTTGAATTTTGTCTATACTTAGATTTAACAATTAAATATAATTTTACACATCAACAAAATTAAAATTACAAAAAGTAATACAATTTTAATACTTTTTTTACTTAAATTTAACATTTAGTATATTTTTTATTATAAAATTGATAAAAAATAATTTTAAAAATCTGTTGATTAATTTTTAATATATAAAAATAAACATTACTTTTTTCTTCTTCTTTTTTTAAATCTAATCCTCAAATTTATAATGAATTGCATTACACAGCAAACCTGAATTGCGATTATATCAGGTAACCAAACCAAAACGGAAGCCAATATTGTCGTTTTGAAGTGTTGTCTTCGTGTGTATTGAACCAAATAGAAGAGAAAAGGATCGAAGTTTCAGTTTCGGGGTTTGGGTTGCGATTGAGTGAAGATGGCGTGCTTGCACGACCACAGTTGCGATGATAACGACTGTTCTTCTAACTGGTCTCTCTACCAGTATATCGACATCACAAAGGTTTGTTTCTCTCATCGTTTTTTCATCAAATCGTATTTCATACCAGTAAATTTAATTTCTGGAGTTTTTATTTTTAAATCATAATAATGATTGAGATCGTAATTCAGGTATTTGCTTTAAACGAGGCGAATCCGGGTAGTGTTAAGTCAGTTTTTAAAGCTTGGGAAGATCGTCTGAATACTTCTGGGGTAATGCATTCCGCAATTATTCACTTCAATTTTAGGATTCCTGTTTCTGCATTTTGATATTTAACCTCTCCTAATTGCTTCAACAGGAACACTTGGTAAGCAATGAGGGTGATCCTGAGTTACTTGTATTCATTCCGTAAGTCCCATGTTTAACAGACTCATTTTCTACTGAACTGATTTTTATCTAGTTTTAATCTGGTATATTGAATGTCTTTTTTATTCATTTCAATCAGATATTTCCCTTTATTGTTGTGTTAGTATATATACATTTGTCTTCCAGACATGTAAAGTACAGTGGGTGGAATGGATTGTTTGTTTATATTTGTTATTTCTTTAATTTTCATTTTTCAGATACTTCAATTTTAATGCCCTAGAATGGCTAGAGAAATTTCAACCACGTAATTAACAATCTGTATGTTTTTGAAAGTATTACTGGTTCTGTTTCTCCCTTTCAAAATCTTAACTTTATTGCACATATTCAATTTTAGAGTCTTGACTGCATATGCTATCTGAACATGTAACAGTCAGCTAATTCTGATTTTAATTTAAGTCGGCCACACCAATAACAGAGGCTTATCCCACTTAGTGAGTTTGTCTACATGGACCACACTCCGCCGTAACAAATGCATACAAGTTATATTCAGGAGACAGTTCAATGACTGTATTCTACTTGCCTCTAAGATGTTCAAATATTTGACACTAAGCAAGGCAAAGTTAACAGTCAAATGGAATATTGAAGAGTGTGAATAAATTAAGTATTCTTTAAAGTGGGACTGAATTACATAATATGTTTCTAGCAAACATGTACTTTTGATGTGAAAAGGGAAAAGAAAAAAAAATCATGTACTTTCTTAATAAATCTGCTCTCTTTATGCCCCATGAACGAGAGAGATTTGGCATTAACTGTACCTTAACAGTAAAAAATTTCTGTCAATATTTTGCAATATTTCAATAAAAAGAAACATAGACTTGTGACAGTGTTTGAGTATGTCTTGAATAATAATTCCTTTTATTGTAAAACTTTTCCTTATGTTTCCAACCTTCAAATTTAGCATGATCAACACTGCCAAAAACAGTAGTTTCAACAACTTACCTTTAACGTCTTCCATAAGTTCTTACAGAAATTGTTAAGCTTTGGTGTATGATAGGTTTACTTCAGATGTCAAGATTAAGAGCATATCGATAGTTGGCGGATCTTTTGGAACAAGCCCTTCCAAGATGCGTGTGTAAGTGTTATGGTTTTGAAGCAGATATATTGTATTAGAATTCCTTTTCATGAGTAATGTTTTACTATAATTGTATTTTATAATTAGAGAGATTACCAGTCTTTGGGACACTAGTTGTTGGTTTGTTATTGGCTTTGATAACAAATGAGTTTATAATGAATGTTGCTTTTAGTTACCATTTCATTATTTGAAACATTCCTTCTATGACATTTATCATACTTGATTTTCTCACAATTGTGATACCACTTTTCTTTCAAGTACAACCGTTAAATTGTGTGGTACGGACTTATTTTAGATGCCATCTTCTCTGTTATCCTTTCCTCATACTGTAGGCTGTTTGATTCTTGTGTTTTTTGCCAGCTTAATGCTATCTTCTGTTACTACTTGTACAACTGAATTGTTTATATTCTCAGTTGGATATAAGGGAAACCAGTATAAAATCTTATAATTATAAGTGATTTTCATTAGTGAAAATTTATTTTACCCAATATGAAACTAGTAGTAGATGTCTGTCAACCACTTTCGATTACTTACTTTCATATATAGATAATGCAGTTTAGTATTTAGATCCACAAGGCTTTGAATATTTTCCAAGTATCCCATTTTCAGTCAACATGCTCGTTACCACCTCCATATTGCATTTTGTACTTTGGGAAATAAAGTTTATATAAATTAGACTAAATGTTCAATTACATTAATTTATTTATATAAATACCTCTTACTCAAAATGGCTGAACAGTTCAACTTGATTAGGTTTGTCAATCGAGAGGGCATTGATTTTTCAGATGCACAAAGCATGCAAGCCATTCAGGTATAGTTTCTTTTAAGGTTTTAAGGAATTAATTGGCAAGTCCACAGCACAACTTGTATGAAACAATTTTTTTTTTCTCTTGTAGGAATGGGATTTGGTTGAAAATATGCGAGGAGTATTGGAATACCAGACAAGGTAATCATAACCGACTTCTAATTTTAGTTATTCCATCACTTTGCCAAGAAAATTGATTCAACAAGGCAATAATATGCAATGCATTTCTTCCGTCTTGTTAATGTAGCATATTCCCATACTATAGCTAATTAGGGGTAGTATTGTTTTGTGTCATTGGAGTTTCTTTTCCGTTCCCCCTCTTTACTCTAGTATCCTCCTATTTATAGATATGATTGGCCTGATTAGTAACTGGTATAACTCCCTTTATTGTAATTCATTTCATTATGTTGTTTTAATGATCTGTCCTTTTTATTAGATATTCTAAATTTCAAAGCGTGGGAAATATTACGTTGCACTTTCCTGAGAGTTTTGGAGGTGACATAACTGAAATACACTACATTGGCTTTAAAGGAGAAGCCACTCAGGTACTTTTATCTGCTAGGTTGCTTGTTGTTTATAGTCTAGTAAGATTATTAACTTTATTTTGTATTGTGTAGCTGAAAAGGACTGCTGTTGCCAATATTGTTTATGAGATTTTGCCGAATCCTTCTGACCACAAGTAAGTATTGAACTCTTGGCTTTAGTATATAATCAATTATTTTATTTTTATATCTTTCCATGCCATTCATTTTTGTATGTCGAGGAGGCTAGCAAGTTTGACGTCTAATATCATTTAGCGGGGACACAACACAACAATGATGTTGGACTCTCCAAATTAGGCATTTTTTATCCCATTATTGCTCAATTGCAACAAATTTTGTCCTATTAGCAAATCATTGCCCTCTAGAAAATTTCTTCTGAAATTTTATTGATCTTATTTTGTATATAACCTTTGCAATTGGTAGAACCTGTAAAAGTTGGTAAAAGTTCACTTGGTCAATTTCTAAAGGCACCTATTCAAGATTTAAATGCATTTCTCTGTTGTAAACTTGCAATGTCCAACCTTAAATTTTTCTTACATGTTTATTTTGATGTCCATGTGAAGCATAGTTGCCTCATGCATGTGCCTTAGGTAGACTCATCGGCACCCATTTTCATTGGGTGGGTGCAAGCGCATACTGTTTATCCATAAGATTGAAATTTGTTGCACATTGCAATGGTTGAAAGCCTAGAATTCATGAGTTTCACTTTGGTGTAATGTGTGTCTTTGGTAATTCCTAACACTTAATTCTTTTGTAGGACACGTGCTGAAAGTGGAGGGGGTCTTTCACACATAGAATGAAACACATTTGCTGGTTTTATTTTGTTACTTGATAACCATCACAACCCAACGTTGTTCCCCTTGTTCCTTCCCCACCTAAGACGAGAAATACAGCTGGACCTGGATAGCTACAATACTGTGCTATGAAATATTTAGTCCTGCAGTCTATGTAAATTACATAAGGAATTTTGTGGAATATTGTTTATCTGGATGATGAATATGACAATCTTAAATATTTTAGAGAACAAATAAAAAACTAATCATTGGCAATTGTTTCTCTGCCTTTGGAAGAATATATCCTTTTGGAAAAAGCAATGAGAAGGTCGGCTACGATTTTTATTGGTATGAAGCTGAGGCAGATGGCCGAAGGTTGAGATGAGATGCAATTGACTTTTGTAAAAGAAGCGAATCTAATTCAGTTCTTAACATGTAAATGGGGTAAAATTTGGCTGCGAGAAAAGCGAGGAATCGTTTGAGGATAGGATTTAAATCTTCACTGGTTGGCAGTAAATTACTTGCTTGGTAAATATAAAAGGCTTATTGGAATATAATTTTTCAGTCAAAACTAAGTTTATATAAGTCATGTTAAAAATGTCGCATTTATTAGGATAATATTAGACACATAAGACTTTACCAATTAAATTTATAGATAATTGTTTTTAATTACTGAATTTTATAATTAAATTTTGATAGATAATTGTGTCATTTTATTGGGTCATTAACACTTGTTGGTTTTTCATTGGTGTGTTTCAATTATTGTATTACTAATTGTAGGTATTTTTGTTTCACGATAGTATCAAATTATTTCAAAACTTTTTATTCATTTCATATGTTTTTTTGTTATTTTCTTCGCTGGAGTATCAGTTTTTATTCCAATTTTTTCTTTTCGAAATATTTGAAATTCCTTCAAATCAAATAATTGAATTTATGTTAGATTTTTTGTTTTCATTTCATTTTCCACGTCTCTAACATTTTTTATAATTTTTTTTAAGGTGTCTTGATGATATTGAAATTAACTCCTACGAGAACGATTTGGAGATGGTGAATATTTTGTGTGATAAATTAATTAGATTATAGTTTTGAAAAATGTTACTGAGAGTTGTGTTCTGGAGCTTTGACGTTATTCTGATGGGAATTTTTATCTATTTTTTATTTGTTTATTTTTTTCTCTTTTTACATTTCTTTGTTGGTGGACACAAAAAGAGTGATTGCGACTTAGGGAAGATAAATTAAAACTATAGTATATGATTGTTTTTCACTTACAAGAAAAGGGTAAACATATGACATCAATAGTTTGAAGGGTTGTTTCATGATATTGAGCCATAAAATCAATACGATGATGGTGATTTTTTTTAGATTAATGTATATGATGTTAGAATCTCTTTATAGTTTTCAAAACGTTTATAAGAGATGTTTGGTAGTATTTTTTTTATTTATTTATTGGTAATCTTTTTAATCTATTTTTCTTTTCATATTTTTTAATATTTTCTTTTTTTACCTTTCTTTGTTGAAGACAGACAAGAAAAGTGATTATGAAAGGAAAAGAGAAGTGATTAAAAACAAACATCCTATTCCAGATAAGTGTTTTAGTCTAAAAATATATTTTTAGACTAAAATAGATCAAATAAAGTTATTATATACCAGAATTTCTAAAAATATCATATCCAAAATTTAAAGTCGGAAACAATTATTATTTTATTTTTTTCCCTTTTTTAAAAATCATACTTATTTTCAAATATCAATAATTTAATTAAATTCTACTTTTTTAATAATAATTTTTCTAAAATATCTTAACTTTAATTAATGTCTTATTTTTAATTACAAGTAACTTTATTTTATTTTACAAAGACATTTTAGGAAGCATAAAAAAAATAGTAAAACGTAATGCATTTAACTATTTTCGTAATACATGTAATATTATTTGGTTTTTTTCTATAGCTTTGAGGGTGTTTTAAAAGTAATCCGATTCAAAATAAATTATGGAAAATGATTAAAATTAATCTATTTTCCTTAATAGAATTATTTGACTCTTTTTGTTTATGTTTAGTTTAAATATTTTTTAATAAAAAGTTAATCAACGAACACATAAGTACAACGAAGGAGGTAGTAGAACAATTTTAGGTTCATTAATGGGTATGCTAATCATGTATGAGATTGAACATTTAAGTTTTGTGTTAATTTTATAATGATATTTATAAACTTAATCTACACAGCAACTTATCCATAGCTGTACTAAAAACAAAACAAACATAACATCGTGACTAGGAAAGATTATCTCCACACTCGTAGTTATCGAAAGTCACATTATTGTTCTTAATAAACTATTAATAAATGAAGCCGATTCATCTAATCCATAATGTATTAAGATTAATTTATTTTGCCACCAAATATAAAATGATTTTTCTATTAATTGTTAGTATTAATAAATGAAACCAATTGGTCCAATTCAAATCCCTTCGTTTGCTCCATTGGCTAAGACAAGCAAGAACAAGGTAACAAGAGTTTCTTTCAAGGCTGAGTAGGATGAAGTTATTAAAACATTAAATTATGAGATAAAATAAAAAGATGTTATTTCTATCAATTTTTAACCAGTTTTTTAGATACATTTATTTGTAAACACAATATAATATATAATTTTTTAATTTAAACATGGGTATAAATTATCATAATATCGATTTAAACAAACAATTATTCGTATAATGATTTTTGTGATGAAGAAAAGTTTTCTAAGAGTAAAGGTTGATCCAACGTCAATTAATATTTATTATGAAATTACATGTCGTATTCATATGAAAAATCCTGTAATTTTTAAATTCAACCTTTAACATGAATGAAAGGTTAACAGAGTAAAACAGTTATATTGACCAATTACAAAATGATTTATTAGATGATTAATTATGTTTTTAAGTTCCTATACTTTAATGTGAAATTAAAAATAGTAATTTTGTTATAATTCACATAAAAATAATTCTTATACTTTTGAAATGATTGAAATAAGTCCTTATTTTAAATAGTGTTAAGTATATGTCGACTCATGTAATAGAAATGATATGACTCATTCATTATTTAACACGTGTAATTATTTAAAAAAATAAAATTAAAAGGAGTGAAACTTTTAAAAGTCATTTAAATCCGCATTTATAACATTTAAAAATTATTTAAAAAGAAATTTAAACTTCTCTTCCATTTATAAGCCATTTAAATCCAAATTTAAAGTATTTAAAAGTCATTTAAGAATGAATTTATGTCCAGATTATTCCTTTTGAATTTAAATACAATTCATCTTTAAAATAAATTAGATTTTGCATTCTTTAAAAATGGAGTGTACCATATATGTTCTTGCACATACACGTACCATTCAAATACATGTTCCTGCATTTAACATGTTTTTTATTTTTTAATGTTCACCCACAGCATCTAGAATCATGTTTCAATTTTATCCCACATTCAACCAAACCACATTTGTTCACATAAAGTACTGCAATAAAACTGAACCACACTATTTTAAAGTAATACATAAAAGAAGTGTACCACAATTATTGACCATAACTAAAGCAAAACTATAAAACAGTGAACCACTTTACATTACAAAAGTAGTATGGACCGTTTCGTATTATAATACCCAAACAATTTACATTACAAAACCCATTAAATTTCATGTGGACTAGGCAGTGAGATTGTTGGAGCTGGCTTGGGAGCCTAATGTTGGTGGTCTCCCTCTCCTTCTTGGTGCTGGAACGTTGATGGTAGATTTGAGCTGCCTCTTATCCACTGTTTCAACAGCTGTAGTGTCTGTAAATGTAACTGGTCTTTTTCTTAAAGATGCATATTTGGTCTTCCCCTATATTTGAAGAACAAGAAATCTTCATTAGTGACAAAAAAAAATCGGAATAGGTAACTGTAACTGGACAGATCTAGCACAAATTTATCTTAACTTCTTAACTATAACCGGAATAGGTAGTTGCCTCTTATTTTCACATAGTTCTTTATCACTTCCATTCAAACCTACATCAATCTGACCTTCTTCCTCACCAACCTCACCCTGTTCATTAACCTCAGCACCCACACCAATCTGATTTTGTTCATTAATCACAAGACTCTCACCATCAACCGTACCACTCATACTACCTTCAATAAAATGTACAAGCTCAATGTTATGCATTTCATTAACTATATGTTCAACATAAATATTAGGTTCATCTTTACTTTCCTCTGCATAATTTGCTAACTCAATTGCATCTTTGTCCAAACTAAAGAGTTTTAAATCCTTATCCAGAGTTCTCGTACTTGATTTCCACCATAACTTAAATTGACCAACATATTTAAACTCATTTACAATGCCCACAACTTTAAAATAAGACCACATATTTGAGTTAATATTACATATCCTATGTTTCTCCCCACCTTCGTAACGCAAATTCTTCAACCTCATAAATTTACCCATGTGGTGAAATGTTATAGAGAAACTCATTGTAATCCTACAATATGAAAGATTGATTCAAACAATGTACAAGAAAAACCCTAAATAATTTTAACAAAACCCCCCAAATGCATGCATTAGAACACAAAATAAACATTTAGTTTCACAAATGAAAAAACATACCTTAATTTTCGGAAATGAAAACCCTAGCTATCGTATACCACTGTCGCACACTACCGTTGTGCACCACCGTCGCACTGTCAGCCAAACTACAACAAACTGATGGAACCCTCAAACTTCAAAGTCACTTTGACTCCATACAACCTTTACAGGGAAGAAAGAAAAGGTCTTTGGTGTATGATGAGAAAAGAAGAGATAATGAAAAATAATTGTGATGAGAAAGAGAAGGGAAAATGAAAAATAGTTGTGACGAGAATCGAAGAGCTTTGTTGCGTGAGGAGAAAATAAAAACTTTTACTTTTTTATTTTATTTTTTTAAAATAATAATCTCTCGTTGAATAATTTCTATTTTTTTAGAAGAGATTTATCTTTTTTTTTTAATAATTACACATGTAAAATAATGAATGAGTCATATTATCTCTCGTTAGACAAATTACCATATATTTAACGCGATTTAAAATAGAGACTTATTCCAATCATTTCAAAAATATAAGAATCATTTTTATGTGAATTTTGACAGAGACACTATTTTTAATTTCACATGAACAATAACTAAAAACATATTTAACCTTTTATTATATAATAAAATAATTCCATTAAACAAATATTTTATTTTTATTATTATAGGTTAAAGTTATCAGTAATAGTTGAAAAAAAGTATGGTCATATAAAACCCTTCTTCTTATTAGTAATGTAAGAGATGATTCCATTAACATTTTAGTGACAAAAACATCAAATGCAATTTCACTAAAAAAATTACCGATGGTAATATAAAAAAAATGGATAAGTTGTATTTTAACATTCGATTTTATAAAGAAAAAGTTTTGACGCATTGCTGAAGTTATATTTGAATATACGCAAATTCATTCTCTTCTATACTACTTACTTTCTTGTTTAAAAACTAATTTGAATGATAAGATATAATTTGTAAGCGTCTACTATTTTTTTTTTTTTAAGATATTACAATTATCTCAAAATCAGAACTTGAAATTCGGTCAACTGACCTTATCTTTTATGTTGGTGATCGTCTTTATTCCGGTAAGAATAATTATTATTATCAAATTTTATTATAAATAAAAAGTTATTATAATATTAAAAATAAATAATAAAGTTAATATTAATATTAATTCTGATTATTTTTTTATTATAATTAGTATTATCAATATTATTTTTTATTAGTTATTAATAATTATTATACTAAAAAATAAAAATCATAATAAATGATAAAAGTATTAATTATTTTTATTTATTTGCATCACCTATTATGATATTATTAAGTATAATTAGAATTATAATAATTATATTGATAATAATCATAATAAACTATTAATTATTTTTATTTTGTAGTATTATTACTAAAATAAATAATTTATACTAATGATTATAATTAATACTTTTATTAAGTAATTAATACTTTTAGTGAAATTGTCTATATCAATAATTTTTTAGTGAAATTGGATTAGTTCAGTGCTTTTGCAAATAAGCATTTAAAATGACAAAGATTATTTTATGTTTAAAAATTTAAAATATACTTAAACTATAAATAAATTTAAACTAATGTTTTCCGCGTAGCTTAATATGCTGTCGTTTTCGAATGTTTTTGATAATTTTAATTGTTTTGTCTTTTAAGCTCACTCAACTTTGAAATTGTTGGATTGAAACCCTAACCGGTATAGCTCTCCCTCTTACTCTCTCCCTCAATATACCATTGATTTTGGTTTCAGCTTTATTTGGTACCAATTATCTGTCCATAACCATACTACCTACTTTATATGTATCCATGTTTTGAAGTATTGTTGTCACTTTTTTCTATTTTATTGCACTATGTAGGGGAAAGGGTGTAACTCTCACGTGTAAGTTCTGAAGCCAAAGATGCAAGCGTGTACAATGATGGGTTCTCTGCAACAACCTGTTTGGAGCAAGGGGATTAAATTCCCTGCAAAAGGGTATGACAGTAACAACGGGTTTGTGCCTCAAGTGAAGTATTGCAACATGAAGCCATGCAAAGCTTCTCATGTTGAAGGAGGTTTAGTCACTGGGAAGCCGTCATCTCTGTCTTTCTCTGTTCCTGAAATTGGAGGTAACTGTAATCTACCGTCTTTTTGAAATTTGTATGGTCCGAATGTCTAGTATTTTTTATTTTTCATTTAAAATGATTAAGGGAGCTACGATGCTATAGGTTCCTTTTTTTTTTGTGAATGTTTGATCTCCTCAATTTTTTGTTCTTTCTTGATATTTGGCGGGGTATTAAAAATAACCCTCAGTTTGTTGTGATAATCAAGTAATATATGTATGAAAATGTCAACATCTGTGTATGATGCATTTGACTTGTGGTTTAGCAAATCTCTTTCGCAATAATAAAGTAGCTTTGGAGTTTTTAATATTTGTTTCTGTATAATTTTCTGTGTTTTGATGTTTAGTAGACTTTGGTTTCAACATACTTTTATTTGAATGTATGACTAAGAATGATTGCTTTTGTCCATGGAATCACATGCAATTGCAAATATTAGGTGATGGAAGTAGCTTCCTGGACTATGGCTTGACTGAAGCCGATCCTGAGGTTCGTGCGATTATTGACAAAGAGAAGGACCGACAATTTAAAAGTCTTGAGCTTATTGCTTCTGAGAATTTTACATCTAGAGCTGTCATGGAAGCAGTTGGTTCATGCCTCACAAACAAATATTCAGAAGGATTGCCTGGTAAAAGGTAAGGTCCTCTTTGAATTAAGAAAACAATTTTTTCTTTCATATGTTTGTTTCAGAATCCAGATTTTGTTCATGGAAAATAAGAACACTGAAACTGTCTTTGATTTATTCATTTTTAAAGAATTAAACTTCATTAAACCCCATTTTACTTGGAAGGTACTATGGTGGCAATGAGTACATTGATGAACTTGAAACCCTATGTCAACAAAGAGCACTGGCTGCATTTCATGTAGATGGAAATAAATGGGGTGTGAATGTTCAACCTTTATCTGGTTCCCCTGCTAATTTTGCAGTATACACTGCAGTTCTTAAACCACATGATCGAATTATGGTAAAAACTATTTGACCCGCCCTTGATTTTGGCTATTCCAATTGGCAACCCATTATTGTAATTGTTCTAATGTACAATGGTTCGTTACCAGGGTCTGGACTTGCCTCATGGAGGACATTTGTCTCATGGATTCATGACTCCTAAAAAACGTGTATCTGCCACATCAATTTATTTTGAATCTATGCCTTATCGACTTGATGAATCAACAGGTGCTTTTTTTCTCCTTAAAATTATCTCAAATTTGTTAGATAACTCATTTTTCAACCCACGTTGGAATCATGACAGGTTTGATTGATTATGATATGCTGGAGAAAACTGCTAATCTCTTCCGACCAAAACTCATTATTGCTGGGGCTAGTGCTTATCCTCGGGACATTGACTACCCCCGGATGAGGAAAGTATGTTTTGTACTAATGCATTAATCTGGAATTATATATTGCTCATTTTATGGTTTTCTTCTTTGCATAAAGCTAATTACATCTTATATGCTTGGAAGATTGCAGATGAAGTTGGCGCTTTTCTTATGATGGATATGGCTCATATAAGTGGGCTTGTTGCTGCATCTGTACTTGCTAATCCCTTTGATTATTGTGATATTGTCACCACCACAACCCACAAGGTTTGCCTTGAGTTATTTTTATGCCACACTGTGTACTTGTGCATTCAAAATGAAAAAGAGAAAAATTTGCATTTATTTTCTGTACAAACTTAATGTTGTTTCTTGAAACTCTGAAGTAAATACTTTTCTTTGCTATACTTGACCTGTGACTTAGTCTGTTTGATATTTTCTTCCAGTCTTTAAGAGGTCCAAGAGGTGGCATGATATTCTTCAAGAAAGATCCTGTGCATGGCATTGATCTGGAGCCTGCCATAAACAATTCTGTTTTTCCCGGTTTACAGGTAAATTAAAAATATTCTCTTATTAGTTTTCTTGTAACTATTCTAATTGAGGTGCATGGATCCTATGCTCTATGGAGTTAAGATGCATATATCATCTTTACCTTCCTACTTGTGATTTTAATACTAATAAATTTATCCAGGGGGGTCCTCATAACCATACAATTGGAGGACTGGCTGTTTGCTTGAAGTATGCCCAATCTCCAGAGTTTAAAAATTACCAGAATCAGGTATATCAGGAGCCCATTTCATCATTGGACTTAGGGGGAGTGTACATGATCATTTTAAACGGCCTTTTACTGCTTAATTTAGAATCCACCAAGGCTGTGCTACTCTGTTTTGATAAGAAATAAAATAGATTGCTTTGCCTCCTGATTTGTTCCCTAGAGTTATCCTCCTGGTCCTGTGGAGTAAATGTAGATTGAAAATAAATGCAACATTAGGCATGATTAACTGTTAGTTTGAGCTCTTTCAATTCAAAACTAGAGGATATAGATTTGTGATTAAGAAATGCAGAATGCTAGTACTATTTTGCCTTACCATACTCTTCTGTGATTTGAAAGTAGCCCCATCCTATCACACTTCATAATCCTAAAATCATAACTGCAAAATTTAGAAGAAAAATAAAACTATGAAGCCTACCTCAAAGAACAGTTGTTAAGAAAGAATTGGGTTTAGACTGCCTTAGTCTGCATTCTGACCTTCCATGTTACGCTACAATGCAAATTCTCAGTAGGCACCCAGAAAGGTCCAAAATCTACTTCAAAACAAGTCTTGAAAAAGGCTATATATATGAATGCAATAAATTAGACTTGAGAGATTCCTTTAGAAACTAATTAGAGTTTATTAGGCATTTTGTATACTTGATGTACATTTTAACAGAAGACCTATTTGAATCAGAAACATTGAAGCCAGTTTACTTTATAACTGAACCTGAATTGTGCATAGATCCATTTGGAAAAAACCAGTTCATGAAAGTGGTTCAGTTGAGAACCAGTTCATTGAAGTAATTCGGTTTGGTTTGATACAAAAAAAATGAACCATGCATAGCCATAGGTAGAGCTTGGCATAAGGCTCATACGGAGACTCAAAATTTCTATCCTGCAGGTGGTTGCTAACTGCAGATCTCTTGCTAAGCGGTTAATTGAGCACGGATATAAACTGGTTTCTGGTGGCAGTGACAATCACCTGGTTCTTGTTGATCTAAGGCCATCGGTAAGCTTTTTGTTCCTTTTGAGTGTGTCTCAAAAATATACGTAGTTCCCCATTTTCTTACTCTCGAGCCCAATTATAGATTGACATCTTTTTCAATGCAAAAAGACATGATTTTCCATGTTGATATATGATTATTTTAGTGCGTTAACTAAGTTTCATATTAATTAACAATATTCGTTAGGGTCTTGATGGTGCTCGGGTGGAGAAAATTCTTGACATAGCTTCCATAACCCTCAACAAAAATTCAGTGCCTGGTGAGATCTTATTGCTGTGTTGTTTCTTGCGTGCATCAGTTTGACATTTATGCTTGTTCACCGTCATATTTATGTCCCGTTAATACTGGCATGTGATTACTATAAAAGGTGATAAGAGTGCCCTTGTTCCGGGAGGCATTCGCATTGGGGCACCTGCAATGACAACAAGAGGGCTTGGTGAGAAAGAATTTGCTCTAATTGCAGACCTCATTCATGAGGGTGTGCAAATAAGTCTTGAAGCCAAAAGTTTGGTCTCAGGAACGAAGCTCCAAGACTTTTTGAAGTTTGTATCATCTTCTGAATTTCCTTTGGGTGGGAAGGTTTCAGAATTGCGCAGGAAAGTTGAAGCTCTTACCACTCAGTACCCAATACCCGGAGTCTAAGAGTACTTGCTCAATGAGCACTTAAAACTGAGACGCTCTTCAAAAATTTTGTATAATAATCATGCTTCTATGTATGATGCTAATAATATGTTGTATGTTGCATTTTCTGGCAACATGTGTATTGCTGCTGCAGCAGCAACAGCAGCTTTATTACCCCAATTATAATTAAGTGCAAACCAATCCTTGATCCTTCAAATATTTCGCACTGTCATGGATTTTCAAAAACAAGCCTTTACCTGGATTCCCCAACATTTTGTCCTAGTAGGCCAAATTCTTAAGGATCAAAATGCTTTGTAGTTTTGTAATTTCACTTCTAGACTAGATGTCCTTCAAAGATTTCTAAACAAAATAACATTTTAAAATACAAAGTGTAATAAATACCATTTTCTTTAGGAAGTTTGAAGTAATTCTATATAAAGACGAATTCGGCTAGTTTTATAATTTGGAAATGTAAAATGGTCATAAAATATATCAAAGGATACATGGTGATAGGTACAATTTTTAAGATTGAATTTGTTAAAAAACCTTCATTATAAAACTCCCTTCAGAAAGGCTAGAAAAGGAATTCCAACGAATTGTATGTTTTAGATTCTTCCTTTTAGGGTTGATCATTCATGATGGCCTTTTTGTAGAAGTGTTGAAAATAAGACTTGATTATTGAAAATAGGATGTGTTCTTTTGAGACGTGACCAAATTGTTTCCCGTCACAAGTGAGATAATTATTGAAAACTTTGCTTATTTTTAAGATCTAGTCATATAAAAAAAATATATTAATGATATATGTATGGATCTTTAATTTTATAAATGCTTATTTAAACTAAAATCCAACAATATGCTGTAAAAAATATATAATTTTTATTATTATATAATGAACAAAAAAGAAAAAAAAGATTATGACGCATATCTCTTTTTTTAATTACAATTTATTAAAAAAATCAAAACTATAAGTGACATTAGTTAAAAAAAAAAAAGTAAAATCCACGTAAATTTGTGAATTCTAAAAAAATTAAACTAATAAGATATAGTACATTTAGGTAGTATTTTTCCTCTTGAAAAAGTATCAGTACCATACTAACACTCTTGTGACTGATTAGGCCCAGTCTAGTCCAGCAGCCCAGCCCAGGTGTGTTTTTTGTCATTAAAAACTCCTACTGTCTTTGATTCCAATTGAAATGCACGCGTCTACTTGCATCCCACACCAGGAAGAACTAGGAAGGAGAAAGAAAGGAAAAAGTGTGTGAAACATTAAAATGGTTGTGGAAGATTCCCAAAAATCAACCATCACCGATGACCAAAACCCTAGCAGGGTCGACAACGATGACGATCTCGAAGATGGAGAGATCCTCGACGACGCTGATGACGCTGCTTCGGCCGCCTCCAAGCCTCCAGGCGCTCTCCTCCGTAACCCCCACCCTCTCGAGAATTCCTGGACCTTTTGGTTTGACAATCCTTCTGCCAAAACCAAACAAGCAGCATGGGGCAGTTCCATCCGACCCATCTACACTTTCGCCACCGTCGAAGAGTTTTGGAGGTCAAGCTTTGATCTTTTTCCTTTCTGCTCCATTTTCTTCAATTTTTCCCTTTTGGTTCTTAACCTAATTTCTTCTTTCTTGGTTCTTGAAAACCCTAACCCTTGTTTTTTGCTTTGAATTTGTTCAGCATTTACAATAATATTCATCACCCTAGCAATTTGGGTATCGGGGCCGACTTTCACTGCTTCAAGTATAAGATTGAGCCCAAATGGGAGGACCCTATCTGCACAAATGGTGGAAAATGGACGATGGCCTTCCCTAGGGGAAAATCTGATACCAGTTGGTTGTATACGGTATTGTATTTGAAATACCAAAATGCACATTTCTTTGAGGAGTTTAACTTATGAATTTAATTAGCATGTACTACTGTCGTTACACATGTGTGCCTATCTTGTTAATTTTTGTAATAAATACTCTAAAATTTGGAATTGAAATTATTTTTTGATTGTTTGATTTTGAAGAATTTTTTGTGATGATAGGCTTAGATGTTAAATTCCATTACTGAATTGAATAATCCTAAAGGGTGTCTGAGCTCAAAAAAAATTCACTGATTGTATATAAAATAAAATATTTAATCGTGATTAAACTAATTAAACTAATAGTACAATTGTTTTCTCTATTTTGGTTGCTTCAAGTTGTTGGCTATGATTGGAGAACAGTTTGATCACGGAGATGAAATTTGTGGAGCTGTTGTGAATGTCAGAAGTAGACAGGATAAAATTTCTATTTGGACTAAGAATGCTTCAAATGAAGCTGCTCAGGTGACATTTTACTTACCTATGTGGTTTTGCTTTCTTTGTCTTTCTCTTTAGTGTCTATTGTTCTGCAAGTTGGAGGGAGATTTAGATAACCTTAATTAAACCCTTATGTTTTGTCAGAATTATTGAGGAATGTGTATTAGGCATACCTCATCTAATTTACTCTTGAACTCACCAAACTGACTTGCTGTGATTGCACTGTACAAGAGCAACGATACAGAACCTCATCATATGTTATATTTCTTCTCATACGAGTGAGGAGGGTCTTTGGTGACTGTCTAAATCTTGCTTTACTTGTCCTCAAAAACTTGTTTGGATGATCATCTTAATTAAGAATCTTTTAACAAGCCTTTATCAAATGAGAGCTCGATAACAAATTTGACTGTGAAATTGCTGAATTGAGCCGTAAACAACTTTTATAAAGTTCATAAGCTACTTTCGGATGCTTTCCAAATGTCCCTTATACCTTCCCCTATATTCTTCTGGCAACTTGAAGAGTATCTAAAGTTTTCTTTTGCAGATGAGCATTGGAAAACAGTGGAAGGAGTTTCTTGATTACAATGAGACAATAGGCTTTATATTTCACGTGAGTAGAAAACTATTTGTGTGCTTATGCATGTAACCTTTTATCTAAACTTTAGGTTAATCTGTCTTGTTTTTTGTTTTTATTTTTGTTGTTCCATGATCTCCAGGAGGATGCAATGAAGCATGAAAGAAGTGCTAAAACTAAGTATGCCATATGAAGTGTATAGCGTTTTTTAAGTGGTGGCAAATGAAGGGTGCAGTAGATTTCGTGTATGAAGAGTGGCATTTAGAACAGTCTTTACTCCTACTTAGTAGCAAAGCTGAATTCTATGCCCTTTTGGTATCTTAGTATTTTTGTGGTACTTTCATATTTGTTTGGTTGGAGAATATTGCTTACTTATCTTTCATCAATAATATAGTGATTTTTACTTAATTGTTTCCATCGTTGGATGGAAAATGGATAAAAGCTTACATTCTTCAATTGATATTTCTATTCTAATATTAAAATCTATTGCATGGAGCTTTTTCTTCAAATGACTACTAGAAAGTGCACATTGTTTTGATGTAAACTTACTGAGTTAAATCTTAAAAATAGAACAAACAATCCCAATACAACCAGGCTTCTTAGGGAACTTGAGGCTGACAGTTATTTTGGTACACTAATTTAACACATTCCACATCTTTTCTTTTTATATGTATTTATTTTACCAATTTGATGTACAATATAACTTAACTAAGTAAAATGTAATATTTTTATAATTTGTTCGCTTCATATAAAAAATTGATAAGATCTATTCTTTTAAGAAAATACTTGGAAGTTGTGTTTATCACTACGTAATTCACGTTAAAAGTTTCCACTTGACCGTCCTTGGTCTAATACATAAATTATCAATTAATAAAAAAATTAATAGTTCAGTGTAGGAGATAAATATTTGACCTTCTATGCTCCTAGCCATAAAAAACAATACACTTTAGTGCCAATTATCTAAACAGGATTATCGTTTTCTGGGATCTTTATCTAAACTATTTACACCAAAGGCAGACACGTATAAGAGCTTTCTACGTGTGCTCAAATGAATGATTTAATATTGGAAACAAAATTGCAAAAGTGTAGTTGACCTAATTCCCAGACAAAAAGGGTAGTAAGGTAGTTATTGTCAAAAGACTAGATTCGACACAGTAAGTGCATTTACAATAATTGTCTATTTTTCCCTATCTAATATAAACACTTAGGAGTTTGGCAGAAATGCATGAAACTGCATCAGTTAAAAATTTCCCCTTCTTCCCTGGCTCCGTTTAAAAACTCCTCATCTTCTATGGTATACTCTTCCTTCATAAATAAACCAAGCCGCTCCAATGGATTCTCGAACTGTGGTTTATCCAATGTGTCCAATGCAACTTTGTACCCATTTCTGCCACCTACCGCCTTATAAGACAGCGTGCATCCACTCAAACGTTCCAGTTCTCTAATAATCTCCATATTATGTTCTATATCAACGGTTCTTTCAATCTACAAAACAAATCAAATTAAATACTCGATTTGATAACTACGGAAAATTTAAGGTGTAAACACGCTTATAAATTATGAATAAAACCTTCTCTATTGCAGCTCGTGCTGCTTCTCTTTCCTTTTCTCTTCGTTGCCTTGACTCTTCCTCGGCCCTCATTCTTGCAGCAGCTTCAGCAATTTTAATTTGGGCTTCGATTCTAGCCCTTTCTGTTAAGCATGCAACATATGACGAATAAGGTTGAAATCAATAAATTCAAATCCTGTTCACATCGACCCAACAAGAAAAGACATTGAAGGAATCTCCTCAATGATAAGTAAAAGCATAAAAGTGCATGCTATATACGCAAAATAACTACTACATTATGAAAGACAAGATGAGCAAATGGTCCTTTTTAGAATACAGATGGCATATATAAATTATGCAAAGCACTTTATTATTTAGAAAGAGTACACAGGAGAATGAAACATAGACAGATGATGTTACTCGAGCATTCAAAATTCCAAACAAGCGTACAGATATGCTTCTACCAAAAAATTTCTACCTAGTCCCAAAAAATATATACTGATATAAAATACTCACCTTCACGCTGAATCCTTTCCAACCTCTCCTTTTCCAGCTGCAATTTTTGAGGATTACGTTTACCACCCTAATAAACAAAACAATGAAATTTAGGAAACCACACGGCATTTGGATGTATCCTTTACTGAAGAAATTAGGAAACGACCGTTCATACAAGCCTTACATGCTCGAGAAGGGTCTTTTGTTGTGCTTTCAATATGGTATCTGCAAAGCGGCTTTTAAGCATAGCTGCACGAAGAGCCTTTTTAGGAGAAAGTTGGACAGGCAAAACAGGCGTGCTCCATACTAAAGCATAAAAAAACGACATAGATATTTGTGTCATATCAATTCATATACAAAGGTAGCAGCAGCTAAATTTAACATAAAAGGAAACGAGATGCTGACCTTCAGCAGAAGAGGCATCAGTGGTAAAAGTTACATGCTTGGAACTAGGACAAACATGTTCACTGTCTAACGAACTTACAGCCCCTATGAAAAATATCAACATCAAATTTATAAAGTCAGTTTGCCAGAAAAAGAAAAAAGACAACTTATCATCAGAAGTTTTAAATTCTTTTCACCATCAGAATCCGATTTCTTCTCCGTAGGTGAGGTACATTTAGTCGGGCAATCCTGGAAGTAGACATAAGGTTTCTCTTATTAGATTTGAAAGAATGAAAGTAAATAAATTTCTCAAAGCTAATTTGGCTAATGATATTGATAATAATACTATTTTAATACCTGTCTCAAAGTATCAGCACCACATGCAATTAGGTCCCTTCCTTCACATCCTTCAGATGATATATCTAAATCAGTACACAGATACAAGTCAATAAGGGAATAGATGGCACATTAGACAAGCAACCAGAAGATTGTCTAACTACCTGATGACACTTGTGTTGAATTGCTATGAATTACACAATGGCAGTTGGTATCACCACAAATGGTACACTTGTGTGTGACAAGACACACTGTAGAACAGGCCTTTAGAGAGCCAGCAGGTTGTTCTCTATCAGGGTTACATTTGCTGCCTATAGAATACACAGCTATTAGCTCCTTTCCAGAGCCAAAAACCTTCACAGTATTCTTAAAGCATCATACCTTTGTGCAAATCTTTCTCGATAAACTTGCAAGGAATCTGCGTTAACTTAGGTGCCTCCACCTACAAGTTAAACATTGCAATATAACATGGGAAAAATACGCCAGAGAAGCAAATGAAACATATAACCATACAACGGTAACACAGAGAACAGGCTAGCGGAAATCAATGTATTTTCATCAATTACAGTAAATATATTGCATCGTTAAATATTACACTTACTTTAGCATATTTGGATGCCGATGATCTAATCTTATGATTTCCTTTGTTTTCAGATACGTGTGTCTTTCTGGGCCAGGAATCCTTATGTCGGGAATGAATTGTGTCAAAACTTCTTCTACTAGTTTCCTCGATTGTTTCAGTCACACTTTTACCTTGCTCATCTTCACACTTGAATTTCCTACCCAATTCTTTCAATTTTTTGTCAAATATTTTGCACAGTTCCTTTGCCATCAAATGAACATCATTACTGGGAGGATTGTATGTCATTGCATTTGAGAAGGTCAGTCTGACATCGGCAGAAAATTCCTCAATGCCCGAATATTTGTTCTTCTCCAGCTTAGTTTTAATTGTGCCGAAATCCATTGGATGAGATATGATAGTAAAATAATCTGGAATATTCAAAGCTACTGGGTCTACTGGCTTGCTAAACACCCAACTATATGGATGAGACATTAAACTCTTCAGTAACGTAGCACACAGCACCGACCCTTTCCGATCAACCCTCTGTCTTTTCACCTTTTGGCCCTCAATACTATCTGTGGATCCTCTCTTGTTGGAATTCAGCCCAGAGGATTTTCCATTCGAATTACAACGCCTTCTTTCATCAGTGTGAGACACTTCCCGTCCAAACTCACGTTTAATCCCAGAATCAACCTCCATCCTGTTTGTTGAGAACTTGATCTTCAATTTAGCACTAGGTACTATAGTTTCCGTGGCAATCATGGTGATGAAATAAAAGGCGAAAATACCAATTATTTGAGAAAAAGGGCCCCTCAAGAAGGCAGTGCTCCAAAGCGAAAACACAAATCACCTGGAAACCCCAAATAACTACATAAGAAAAAAAAAATACACTGGAAAATACACCGAATTGTCCAAATTTCGATCAATCACAAATACAAATAGAACAAGCACTGTAAATATTAAGGCGAAAAATTGATCACAGTAATTATACAATTTCGTCGACCCATAATTTAAAAGAATTGAATTGAAACTATTATAATTCACGGCAAAAAAATTAAAATGAATACAGGAGTTGTGACATCAACAAACAACCGACAGCATTCACATAGAATAAAATTTGATAATAGAAACCCTAAACATAGCGAACCAAAACTCCTGCTGAATAAAAAAAATCAAGGAAAGTACGAAATTTCATCAAGTTGTGCAGTTAAACCAAAACAGGGTTTGTTAATGAACGTACCTGAATTGTATAAGAGAGAGAAAGAGAAAGGGCTAGGAAGCCCCCCTCACAGATCGACTAAACTATCAAAGGAGGAAGACGGAGTTGCGTTGCCAAAGCCACAGTGTGTGCTGAGTCTGTGTAGCAGTGTGATTTCTAGGGTTTTTGCTTATACACCAACAGCCTTGACTTTTTATTTTCTCTTTATTTATAGATATGGCTCTTGTTTTATATCTTGGTCTTTCCTCAGATATTTTTTTTTATATTAAGTATTATCATTAAGAACATTTTACGTTTAATTTTCTTATATTGATAATTCATTTTGTATTATAATTTCAATATATTATTAAAAATAAATGAAAGTATATTATATATAAAAATATTATTTTTATATTATCGTATATTATAAATTATTTGATGACAAAAAAAGAAAATAAAATAATAATGATTTATTATTTTATTATTATCTATAATTGTAAATAAAGGATTTCTTTTTTAACTATTATTTTAGAAAAATAAAAAATATAATTAAAAAATAATTATTATAATTTATATATTTTAAAATATAATATTTCAAAAAAATTAATTAATATAAACATGACACTATATAATAGAGATTTTCTTTTATAATATTTTTTATATTATTGAAAAGAGAAAAAAATAAAATATTATAATTTAAATATATAATTATTACAATTTATATATTTAAAATAAGAATCATATATAAAAATATAATACAAAATAAATAAAATAAAAAATAAGTATATTAACAAAATAAAAAATAGTTATTAAAAAGTGTAAAAATAAACACATATTTATAAAAAACATATTAATACAATACAAACACTTTAATGTTTGAATTTTATAATAATAATAATAATTATTATTATTATTATTATATATTATTATTATTATTATTATTATTATTATTATTATTATTAAGAACATCATTTATCTATCAAGAAGACTCAAGCGTCAATGTTTTAAATAAAATAAAAATTATTTAAATTTGTTGAAGACATTATCAGATATCTAATTAAATTTAAAAACGCTAGAGATATTAGAATGATGTCATAACAATGAGATATGAAAGTACGGGCTGCTATAAAAGATTGGGCTACCTCGGCCCGTTTAAAATTCTTGCTGCCAGCCTGGCAAATTGCAAACTGAATCCAGAGATATTGACTACCTTTATTACAACTCACGCTAAACACACTGTCAGACTTTTTTATTATATTAAAATAACAAATTGATACTACACGTTTATTTACATGATTTTATTTTATCTAGCTGTTTTTTTAATTTTTGTACATAATTTTTTTTACACATTCATATTTTTTTTAATCAAATTTTAACTAATTACCTCTTAATATTATCATTTAAAAATTATTTTTTTTCCTTTACAACGTTACAGTAATCATTTTTAATTTAGAAAAACCGAGAAAAATTTAAATTACTAGAAATATTTTTTTATTTCATATATCCAAGGGATTAAGTTATAAAATACTTCTCTGATTATTTGTGCAAAATTAAATAATTTGTTTTAAATATATATATATATATATATATATATATATATATATAATAAATAGATAACAGTAAAGATAAAATATAAGGATAATATATAAAATTAAATATTAAAATTAAATAAATAAATCAAATTCTATTTTATGAACAATTAAATAAATGGAAATGATATATATGAATTAAACATAAATAAAAATAACACAATTTAAAATAAATCTTGATAAAAAAAATTAAGTTTTTATATGAATTTGTATTTTTTTACTTCTAATTTTAATAAATAGTCACTCGTCCTATCGCAAAAAATATATTTTGTATTTATTAAAAGTTGATCTTTAAGAAATATATATATATATATATATATATATATATATATATATATATATATATATATATATATATATATATATATATATATATATACGGTCGCTCCAAAAATTCAAGATCTATTTTATCTACAAAATAAATACCTAAAATAATCTCCTAAATTAATTAACAAGAATCTTAATGAGTCAAATTAAAACGATATTTGTGAGTTTCTCATTTAATAAATCAAATAATTTTCTCTAATAAAATTTAACTATTTTATGTCATATATTCAAAAATTATCGAAAAATATTTTTATTTAATAATAAAGATAAAATGATATAATACTATAAACAGGAATAATTTTTAGATGCGAAGTCTAAAAGTTTAGAATATATATTCATAAATTATTATTTCATAAACATGATTATAGTTACCTTAAATATATATATAAGAGTATTCAAGTAATTTTATTTTGGTAAATAAAAAATTGTATTTGTGAATGACCAATACTTATTTAATAAATGCAAGATTTATTTTTGGTATAGATATTTGTATCATGTCTACTTTTCTTTAGTTTATTCATATCATTTTAAAAATGATTTAATATATTTCTCGACCTTATAAATTAACTTTTTTTTTTAATTTGTCTTTTATGATCTTCTTGAGATCCATGAAATTTATGATTATACATATATTCATAAAAAAAAATAAAGAAAAATAATTAGATTATTGCATTCCTCTTCTCAAAAGAATAATTCAATTTCTCTTAAGAGGTGTCACTGATATGTTTTTATTAATTCCACCAAGTAATAGAACAAGTGGTGTGACGTATAATTTTTATATGTTATAATAATATTATTATGCAAGAAAATTTCAGTAACGAAGTTTTCCTCATACACGATAAAAATATTGTTATATATGTGCATACTGAAACGGGGGAGGAGGCAAAATCAAAATTTCCCTCTCATCCTTTTTCTTCTTTTGTCTAAAGCAACGAGACTTTACTCGTGCAGGATCTGGTGAAACGGGAGATAACTTGAATTACGCGGAAAGCTTCAAGTAGAAATATCACACCGGGTATGGAGAAGTTTAATTCATTCAATATATGAAATTGAATTGTTGGGTACTCTGTGAATAAGAAATAGGAGTAGAGATATGAATTATTTGAATGTCTGATTCTAATGAACTGTTCACCATTTGAAAGTTTTTCAAATTCTTAAAATTAAGGATGAATTATATGGTAAAATTGTTGTTTTCAATTTAAATTAGATATAATTCATGTTTAATCTGAATTTGGGACTAATTTGGTTGTCTAAAACTGAGTAATTTGAAATCTGTTAAAATCTGCAAAATTTGATACTGTTACTCGGCGAAGGAAGAAGAAAGGGATATGGTGGGAATTTTTTAAAAAGATCAAAGGTAAAATAGTCATTTTACATCCTAGGGACATAAATGGAATTTTTGAAAATATTCAGGGGTAAAATAGTCATTTTCGGTACATGGAAGGAATTTTTGAAAATGTTCAAGGGTAAAATAGTCATTTAGGGATATACATGGAATTTTCAGAAAAGATTAAGGGCAAAATAGTAATTTAATGATTTAAAAAAATTCGAAAAAGATTTGGAAAAGATTTTGGAAATGATTTCGAAAAGGAAAAAGAAGAAGATATATATATATATATATATATATATATATATATATATATTTAAAAATAGAATGAATGTAGCAGTTTTAAAGATTACGTAGTGTGTTGTAACGTGTGTGAGTCGATCGAGTCTAAAGGTCGATGTCCATAATCAGTCATGAGATGTTATGTATTGGCTAGACTGAGCCGGAAGGTTGGTGCCCAGAATCAGTCAAGTACTATTATTTATTGACTTGAATGAGCCGTGAGGACAGGTGGTCCAGAATCCGGCAAATGTGAATGATTTTTGTTGTGTTTGAATGGTACCCGGGGTGGTACATAGTACTTTAGTGTAATAACTATGTCAGAGGATTCTAAATAAGGTCTCAGACTTCACTGATTGGTCGGGTCAGGTAGACTACGAGATCATGTGGTGAGAAGTCAATGGGGGATGACTGGTGGCGCGCTTGGAGGAGTACTCCAGTACGAGTGATGAAGGGTGCCAGTAATCCTACTCAGTGTGGAGGGTGGTCAGAATAGTATTGCGGGTGTCGATCACAATGTGCCCACACATGATAGTCTCTGAGTTCGGGCATAGTTAGGGTATACTTCCGAAAGGTGTCTTAGTGTGTTGATGATTTCGTAATTGATCATAATATATAATTATTACTTCTATATCTGTTTTATTATATCGAATGATTTAATACTTACCCCTGTTTTTCCATGTGGATGAGACTGCAATGATCACTTTTATGTGGGAGCAGATTAGGAGTTGAGAGATGGAGATGTGACTACTGACAGCAGGGATAGTTCAGTGAGATAACTTCGAGGGAGTTACTTTTACATGTATAATATATAAATAAATTATGTTACTATATTTTGAGGTTCCGTTAGTGAACCGAAATTTCAATCTATGTTATAATTACAGTAATATAATGTAAGATAGGTGTCGTTATTTACTTGTTTACTATTTTGCGAAGACATAATTATAGTACCGATTTCTAGTGTCGTTACAATAGTGGTATCAGAGCGGTAGTATCCTTGTAAATATGTGGGGATGGGTAGTGACCCTATGATAAGTCCGTT